TCGCTCCTATCTCCGAGGAGCTTGGGGATTAGATTAGTTCATCTTGAACACGGTGCCTAAAATTAGACTGCTGAGCTAAAAATACAAGTTTGTTAAACTTCTCTTTTCCCAAAGGTAGCTGGAAAAGTTTGTGAAAGTCTTTCAAAAATGGGGAAGTAAGCAAGTCAGAAGTTTGGCCGGAGCCTAGTCAGGCTTTTGCTCTGTGTCAAAGGTCAAATAGTTCTTCTAGAGTATTTGACTTTTTCTAAGTCAAGTAAGTATTTTTAGTGCATTTTCTTCTGTAATAATTCAAACATGCAGTAGCTTTTCCCAGTGAGCCTGTAAATCTCAGCGAATCTGGGACATGTTTAGAGTTGGCTGTGCACTCTGAGTGAAGTCAGTGGTCCTGGCCTAGTCTGAGGGTGGTTTCCATGCTGCTTCACAAGGAAGGGTTGACTGCTTCCCAGGATGGACTTAGTTTCCCACCCTGGTTCGGTAGCAGTGTCCTCTCCCACAGCAAGTGTGAGGTGCTGAATTTATCCTCAGTACTACCAGAGAAAGGGAAGATAGCATGTGGCTTCGTATTAAAAACAGTGCCATCTTTTAAACATTGTACATGAACACAGTGATAATCAAATGGGGGCGGGGTTTAGACCAGCTTTTGGTTTTTTGAGACAGGGTTCTTGTAGCCCAGGTTGGCTTTAGAACTTGAAACCCTGCCTCGACCTTCCAAGTGCTGAAAGTACAAGTGTGCACCACCACCTCACCTGGCTTAGGGGTGTGGGTGTGTGGGCGCACGCGCTTTGGTTCTGCTTTCTTGCCAAACTAATGCCAACCCCATCACCCACTGTACCCGGTTTCATTGATCCTCTCAAGGTCACTTTAGCTGAGGTTTTGGTTATGGCTCGGGTACTCTTCGGAAGGTTGGGTTCTTTGGGTAACTAGGAATGAAAGGCAGCCTTCACGTCCCTAAGCTGCCCTTTTCAGTGAGTCAGCTGCGTCTGCAGCATCTGCTGATGGGAGAAACTGAGTTGTTTAGTGAAGGGGGAAGTAACGATAGCCCCAAAACCAGAAAGACCACAGAATTCAAAGCAGTAAAGTCATGGGGGCGATTAGCTTTGGTTTGGTTTTTTGACTGTTTTTGAGACAGGGTTTTTCTGTATAGCCCTGATTGTCCTGGAACTCACTCTTATAGACCAGGCTGGCCTGAATTTCAGAGATTACCTACCTCTGCCTCCTGAAAGCTGGGATTCAAGGTGTGTGCCGCCACACACACAGTACAGTCATTTCTGTCTGCTGTTGTCGGCTATGGTAATGGTGCTGTTTATTGAAAGAAATCCAAAGCCAGGCAGACAGAAATATGTCTGTGTAACACAGTTAATACAGACCCAGAGACAGATTCTGGGCTTCGAGCTGAAGATGAGAGGAGGAAAGCAGCTGGTCACTGGCTCTCACTCTGCCTTAGGCTGAAAGGACTGTCCTCTCCTCAGCGTGACTGGAGAATAACCCTCCTCACCAAACCTCAGACTGCCATCCCCGACTGCTGCCTCTTCCCTCTGTTCCTCTCAAATCCTGGGATCCCAGGTGCTGAGACCACCTTTGTGCGAGCTGTTTCTCTTTAGGACTGGGTCAGTTTTGTGTAGCTCAGTGTGGCCTTGAACTAACAGAGATCCCTCTGCTTGTCTCTTGAGTCCTGGGATGAAAGGTGTGTGCCACCACTGCCTGAATCTGTGGCTTGTATCTAGCTTTGTTTTCTGTACCCTCCGGCAAGCTTTAACAAATCATAATACTGATAAAATGAATCTGAGGTGCTGGGATATGGGGGGTGATGGCACTTGGCTAACTTGCCCCCACAGCTCATCACAGAACCCTGGGAGTCTTCATTTTCACAGTAATACAGATTATCAGTGTTACTGCTACTCAGTAGAACAGCCTATTCACGCTGTCTTTGCAGAACATGGGATAAATACAGTATGATCAGTGCCACACGCTTGCCGTGTGTTCAGGGTTTTAACAACGTGACCTATAAAATCCAATCTCAAAATGTAGATGGGATCATCATAGGAATTGCACAGGAGAAGTTTTGTCTTCCTTAAGCTCTAAAGACGGGAGGAAAGCCATGTCTTAGCTAGAGCCACAGGTGGGGAAACTGCATTAGAGGAGTCATGTCTCACTTTTCAGGGTAGCGTAGGAAAGTCAGAGATAGAACTCTGTTGGACAGAAATGGAGGGTTCATCACTGTCACTGCAGGGAAGTGCACTGGGCTTTGGGCAGATCCAGAAGAGATAGCAAGATCTCAGACAGAGCCCGGTGGTTTTGTTCTTTGTTGAATTGGGAAAGCAGTGGGCATGTGCTTGGCCCACTAGAGAATATGCAGGCACTGCATAGGGAAGACAGGCAGACAGACACGTACACACACACCCCATCTAGATAGGTACAGGGCCCAGGCGCAGCTGGAGACCTCGTAAGGATCCCAGGGCGATGTTGTGTTCTCCCTTCCCTGCCCCTGGCAGCTTGTAGCAGTTTTGGCATAGAAGATGGCATCATTTGAGCTCCAGACACCCAGCTCCAAGTTGAGATTTGCTGAGTGGAGAAACTGTATGTTGGAACCTGAAAGGTCCTTGAGAATATATGTTTCATTAATTAGTCATGGGTTCAAGCTTGTAGAAAGGAGAGAAGAAGAGCCAGGAGACCAGAGTAGGAAGAGTCCGGAGTATGAAGGTGTAATGGGAGAAGAGGTCATCCAAGAGTGGGGGGGCAGTTTTGAGAACCCCAGGAGTGCTGCACCATTGTGGACACTTCCCACCAGATGGCTAACATATGAAACAGTGGGCTTCATTGTGACATTTTCATACGTGTGTATCGTGTGCTTTCCTTGCATTTTTTTAAAGATCTATTTATTATGTATACAGTGTTCTGTATGCATGATGTATCCCTGTAGGCCAGAAGAGGGAACCAGATCTCACTACAAATGGTTGTGAGCTATCATGTGGGTGCTGGGAATTGAACTCAGGACCTCTGGAAGAGCAGCCAGTGCTCTTCATCAATGAGCCATCTCTTCAGCCCTCGCTTTCCTCGTATTACACACACACACACACACACACATTTTTCTTTTTCTCCATTGGTCTCCTCCACCAAATAACCTGCCTTGCATTCCCATGCCTTTGTATGTATGAGTGTGCATACGTTTTTTTTAACTGGGATTTTTCGGTGGGAGGAACCATATGTTTGTTTTGTTTTGAGTCTGGCTTGTTTCACTATATTGACCTCCGTTTCCGTGCATTTCCTTCATGGCTGAATAAAAGCCATTGTGTGTGTGTATACCCCATTTCTCTGTCTACACATCTGGGTTACTGGCTGTCCACTTACTTCTGCCTCTGCTGTTGTGAGCAGCATAAACAGGGAGGAAACCCGTTTCCCTGGGTGACGCTGCTAGTCTGATGGTCTTGTTTCTGGTGTCTATGCTGTGCTGACTTCCATTGTGGCTGTACTGATTTACAGGCCCTCCAGCAACACACACACAAGGTCTCCTGTCTTCCTGCCTCAGCGTTCCTGTTTTTTTGATAGTCATTTGAACTAACTGGATTGTTTTGTTTTGTTTTCCTTTTTAGTTTTTCAAGACAGGGTTTCTCTGTGTAACAGCCCTGCTATCCTGGAACTCGCTGTGTAGACCAGGCTGGCCTTTAACTCAGAGATCCGCCTGCCTCTGCCTCCCACATACAGGGATTAAAGGAATGTGCCACCAATGCCCGGCTTTGAACTAGTTTTGATCTGCATTTCCCTGGTGGCTGAGGAATGGAGGTTTTATTAGTAATGCTTATCAATAATAAAGGAGAATTTATTACTCAGCTTTTCATAATATATAAAAAGACCTAGAACTCTGTAATAATGAATATAAAATGGTACTTTAAAATTTAAAGCAATAATACATTATAGAAATACCTGAGTTATGAGTTATATAAATAGTGATGAAAAGTAATAATTAACAATGAATACTGTTATTGTCCGTTCATAATTGAATATGTAAAATTTGCATTCAAATTACCGAAAGTTTAAGGTGATCATTCCCTCCCACATCGCCCACAAGTTTAATCCCTGAATCCTCAGGCACCTCTACCTGTGGACCTCCAGTCTAAACAAGGAAATGACCAGAGGTTATAAATAAACCTGTATTAAAAAAAAGAAAAGAAAAATGGGCTTACAGAGAGGAGAAATCCTTAAAGTGACTTTGGCGAGAAAGGTTTCTGTGGCCCTGCAGGGGTAACGGGTGGGAGGAGCTGGAGGAACCGTGTGTCCTAAAGGCAACCGCGGAGAGGCCTGGCCGTGTGCTCTGTGATTTACAGAGAAGGGCGTATTGCAAGTCAGTTAACAAGTGGGCAGCGGGGAGCCTGTGCTCAAGCAGGGGTGGTAGTTGCACAGGAGACACAGCCACAATTCACAGGGCAGAGACCCTGGCCGGAAAGCTCTGAAAAGTCTCCTGGCCAGATGCCCAGGTAGGATGCTACCGAGTACATGTCTCCCCAGAGGAGAGGACACAGCTCTGTCCAGCTGGGGGAGGGAGACCCTGAAGTCAGGGAGGCTTGAGGGGAGGGTTGTGTCTGGCAACAGATCATCAAATGCTCTTTCTGTTCTGTTTTTACTGCTGGCCCCAAACCATTGAGAGCTGGTAAGTAATGGCAAAAATCTAAGAATAATTGTTTAAAGCCAGGGAGGATTTGGGGGTCTTTTCCAATAAAGAGCGGTGAAATGTTAATGTTAATTATGCTTTTTGGGGGGTTAGTACAACTAGACAAACTTACCTGTCTGCAGCTTAAGTTTCTTTCTAATCATTTGAAGTGTATAGAAGAATTTGGTTATTCTAATTAGGAAACATGTTAGTTTTAAGAAAGTGTTGATATTGTGACACACACACCCTTCCCATTGCTTGTATCTACCCCTCCTATATGGCACCCTATCTCTTTTAATCTAACAATAAATGTGTTAATCAGCAGACTGACTCTCTCCACGTTTGTTTGTTTAAGGAATTAGCTCTCCGAAGCCAGTTGCCCACGCTGGAGCAGGACGGAGGAACTCAGAATGCCGTGTCTTCTCCCGGGATGTCTCAGGAGCTGAGAACGATGACGACCAATAGTTCAGATCCCTTTCTTAACAGGTTAGTAAGAGCGCGGGCCAGGACCTGTGGGCTCTCGCTGGCTTCGGTCTGCTTTGTGCTTGTCTGCTGGTGTCTGGGCCACAGCCCCTAGCTGTCAGCCAGCTCCACAATGCCACGTGCAGTCACAGCTGAGGGTTATAGGGGCCGCATCCTGGACAAGAAGGCGAGCTGTTCGGGCCTGTGGAAGGGATCTGGGTCAAAGTCCAACATGCTTGCTTCTGCCTACACTCTGCTCAAAATGGCAGGCTTGCAGAAGCATGTGAATGCCTTCCCGTGAAAGCATCTTAGCCCCCGAGCTGGAACTTTCCACACGGCTACCTATTCATGTAAGGCCTCATATTCTTTAAGGCTCTGTTATAAGGAGGTGAAATATAAGGCTGTGCCCCACCCAAAACTATGAACTTTGGTGGCATCATTTTAAACAGTACAGCTTACAGGTGCCTCGTAATGAGTTCATAGTCCTTGGGTCTGGACTTGAGTGGATGATACACAAACTACTGTGTTGAGAACTGTATTTTTTATTTGAAAACCATTTATAATATTTAAAACTTACTGTGCTGTTTTAATTTTGTTTTTAAGAATAATTAGAATACTCTGTGGACTAGATTCCCTCCTCCCCATAATGCTTTTAAGCAACAAGCCCCCCCCCTTTTTTATTCTCCCCTTCTTTTCTCCTCTTTTGTTTTGAGTCAGGATCTCTTTGTAGGCCACATAAGTGATCTCCTACCTCAGCCTTCAAAGTGCTAAGATTACAAGATGGGGCCACCATGCCCATCTTGCAATGCGCTTGTAAAATTGCTTTAGGAGCCTGGTAACGGTGGCGCACGCCTTTAATCCCAGCAGAGGCAGGAGGATCTCTGAGTTTGAGGTCAGTCTGATCTACAGAGCTAGTTCCAGGACAGCCAGGGTTGTAACACCCAGAGATTCTGTCACAAAGAAAGAACCAAACAAAAAGGTTTAGGAAAACTATTTTCAATTCTCACCAGTTAAACTGAAAAAATAAAAAAAGCTTTCATTTTAACAAAAAGTATTATTGTCCTGCTAAAATGTTTTAAACCATTGAATTTTCCATCACCCTGGAAGTCTTAGAGTGAGGCACATCCTCACTTCAGCAGAAGTAAGGGGATGATTCCTTTGAGTTTGAGGACATAGTGAGATCTTGTCAAAAGAAAGTAAACTCATCCAGGTTGTGGTAGCTCACGCCTTTGAGTTAGTTCAAGGCCAGCCTAGTCTACAGAGTGAGTTCTGGGACAGGCTCAAAGCTACAGAGAAACCCTGGCTGAAAAAAAAACAACAAACAAAAAGAAAGTGAATTCTGGAGTTGGCCTGGCAGGTAGGTTTGTTTTCAAAGGCAATGAAATGATGTATAAATCCAACCTGGGGTGCTAACTCACTGTGATCACAGCATGAGTAACACATTCCAGGACAGCCTGTCTGCAAATACCCACACAGAGAGATGCAGAATTTACATTTTGGTGCAAAGTCAAGTACATTGACACAAGCCTGTGCTCTAAACTGCAGCTGGCCCAGCACAGAATCTCCCAGGAGCAAAGCCCCTGTTTTGTTGAAGACTTCTGCAGACTTAATGTCCTCATTTCGGTCTCCTAAAGGCTGAGGTCCCAGAATTGGTACCCAGATTCCAAAATGCACCTGGATGACAGTTTTCTTTATTAAAAAAGGACTCTTGATGTCTTGTCTGTTGCTTACAAGTGAATCATGCCTACACCTTAAGTTCAGTCCTGGCCTGTGGTGTGACCCCACCTGTCTCTCCAGTCTGCCCTCCATGCTCCCTCTTTGCCCTCCAAGTCCTTCCGTCACAGCTGCTGCAGCAGGTGAGGCTCACGGCTCCCTGGAGTGTGCGTTCATCTTTTTTTCTATACCATCTTAACCGCTGTCCCCTGAGCTGCTCCGTCAGGCTGGCCTAGATGCTCAGCATTAATTAGCAGGGGTTTGTAGAGATCTATTGTAGGCAAGAAAACAGTATGAGCTCTCTCCCCACATCACCGTGGGCTTCTGAGAGTCTGTAGAGCCACCTCCTCCTTAACAGACCCAGTTGTTTGACGTGTGACCTGTGTGGGGACAGCGTCCCAACATTTCAAGTAAAGCTATCAGGCATCATCGACTGATTCACATGGCTGTGTGTGTGTGTACCAGCAGCCTTAAGGCAAGTTTTTGTTTCTCGCATCTGTGTGAGGCTTATGAATTTTGCCAAAATCTGGCAGAAGCGTTGCCATAAACCAGTGTTTGTTGTCTGCAGAGTGATAAGAGAGAGAATGGGGCAAATGCATTGAACAGGTAGCGAACAAGGTTGGAATAAAGCTCTTTGTTTTTAAATGCTGGGGTGGGATTCCTTGGTTTGTTTTTATTTTTTAACTGTCCACCATGTGAGGAACGTCGGTCTACATTTGTGATCAGGGACCAGAGGACTAGCAGCTGCCTTCTGGGTTAGGGTTGTTAGTGTAGTAGAGTTTAGGTTTCCAGTTAACACCAGCTGTGTTGTCAGCCATCACTTAGCAGAGTGTTCAAGGCTACTTTGTGCTGCTCCTGAGTGCAGTCTTGATTTTCCGTTTTTAAGTGAAGATGCGGGCTGGTGGCGCCCGTTTCTCCTGGAGGCTCTTTGCTCTGTTGGTCTTTCACTTCTGAGCTGAGGCCTCTTATCGGGTGCTGAAGTGTCTGGGCACTCCCCTCCCCCAACAGAAGCGAGAAGATCCAGCTGTGGGAACCCTTATCTTCAGTGACTCATCTGTTTTGGCACGGAAGCATTCTGGTTCTTCTTTTGGGCCTGGCTTTTCGTTGGCTTAAGTTTGCTGCCTCCGCGCTGGGAATTGACACAAGCCTGATGCAGACTTGTCCACCTGGAGTGTAGGGTTTGACCCCTCTCCCTGGGGACTTGAGACCTTGCCACCAACCTCAGAACACTTGTGCTGTCCTTCAGTTAGGATCGGTGTGTCTGTCCTGTCCTGTTGTCGGACGGCGGCTGGCGGGCTTGGGAGAGGCTCTGCAGTGCATGGTCGTGCTTAGTACACGTGTAGTTTGCCCTGGATCGAGTAAAAAACGTCTGTCGGCCTTTGTCAATGTTTTCTAGTGGCACCTATCACTCTAGAGACGAGAGCACGGACAGTGGCCTCAGCATGAGTAGCTACAGTGTCCCTCGGACCCCGGATGACTTCCTGAACAGTGTTGATGAAATGGATACAGGCAAGTATTTATCCACGTTCACTGCCAGGAGGTGACTGGCTCTGATGCACAGGTCAAATTCAGCCTGTTTTGTCTCTCCTCCTTCCTAGACAGGACTGCACTGTGTGGCCTGGGACTCACAGAAGCCCTGCCTGGGGTGCTGGGATTATGCCTTGAGCCTTCAAAACAAAACAAAACAAAAAACGCTGGTTTTTCCTTCCTTTTTGAGATAAGGTCTTGCTGTATATAACCCATACAGAGATCTCAGCCATGTACCGTCTTTTGATACCTCTTTTGTTAACATGTTGGTTGGGGGAGGGGAGCTATTAGAAGTCCCTCGTTTTATAGGTTTGTGTTCTTAATTTTGGATAATTTTTTATGTGGCTCATTGTATCTCATTTTTCTCTGAATTCTTTTGGTTCAACTGAGGTTTTAAGGGCTGGGAAGCCAGGTGTGGGGGAGTTTAGGGTAAAGCCCAGTGGCTTTATTGTTGAATAGTTGTAGAGGTATTGATGAGCTGAGACCCCTCCGGCCTTGGATGGGTGAGGAGACAGCAGGATGGGCACTTCTCAGTAAGCTAGCTGGGGGTGACGCGTTCTCTGCAAAGTGTAGAGGAAGTCTTCATACCCTCTTATCTGATGCGTGAAGACGGGGTTTTGAGAACTTGTGTTGTCCCTGTTTCCTCTGGGCTTGCCCACATCTGAAGTCCTCCTTTAGGGGCCACTTGAAGCCACCTCATGCCTAGCTCCACCCTGCAGCACCCACAAACGGTGTTTGTTTTTCTGAAAATACGTTCTGATGAAGCTCCAAGGAGGAGTGCTAATGTCATGGGTAAATACAGGTCCTGTGGACCTGTAAGAGATTTGAGCTGAGTCTGGGGCGCTCGCGTGTCTTCGAGGACTGATGCCGTTGTGTGACTTTGAGAGTAGAGCAGCATGCTCTTATGTTAGCGTCCCAGAGTGCGTCTGAGAGACAAGACCCTGCATCTTAACCTTCTCGGGAGAGAGAAAAGGCATGGCTGTCATCTCTCGATTCCGCGTCTAGCTTTCCAGGGGAGTCTCTGTTATTCCTGGTCCACGTCAGTGGTCCTCACACTTTGTAATGAGCAGCCAGCCTGCGCATTGCATGGCTGTGCAATGGGGAGGCACATGCAAACTTGGCATTACCTAGCGCTGTGTGCGTGCTTTTCTAAAGTAGATTCTGGGTGCTTCCGGGAGTCTGTCTGTCCATGCTGTGCAGCTCTGGTCTCCCACAAAACACTCTTGTTTATCCCTCCCCAAAACTAGGTGACACTATCAACCAAAGCACCCTGCCGTCACAGCAGAGCCGCTTCCCAGACTACCTTGAAGCCATCCCTGGGACAAATGTGGACCTTGGAACACTGGAAGGAGATGCGATGAACATAGAAGGGGAGGAGCTGATGCCCAGCCTCCAGGAAGCCCTGAGCTCTGACATCCTCAATGACATGGAGTCCGTGCTGGCCGCCACCAAGCTCGATAAAGAAAGCTTCCTCACATGGTTATAGAGTTGCCGGGAAGCCACTCTCCAAGTCTGTGAAGGATCCACGGAGCCTAAGATGTGCAACCCTGAAATTCAGATAGGCCGGTGTCAATCAAGTCTTTGGCTAATACAGGAAACCGATGAACAAATGTCCAGCAGGGACCTTCCATCATCCACCGCTCTGCTCTTCTCCGCCCGTCGCTGCTGTTAATGTTGCTGCCCTGTTCACAGCCTGCCCTGAAGAATCAGACACACAAAACAAAAAGCCCCTTTGGTTTCTTTTGCTCTAATAACTACTATTCTCTGGGGTTGCTGGAGAATACCCTGTGTGGGTGATGGTGTTCTCCCTTTTGCCCAGTGGTGTCCTCACCCATTGTTTTAACTGAACACTCAGACTGGGGACTGAAATGCTTCGTGTCAGAGCATGTGCTCAAGATAAAAGGTGGTTTCTTCCGTTGCCTTTGGCCCTCTGGTCCAACAAGCCAAAAACATGGCATCTGATCTTAAGTACTCAGTGCCAATCGGGAGATCTCAAAGACTGGTGGACTTTTTTGATTTCTTCTCCTGGTGATGCCATTAGTCACATGGTGACCTGGATTTTATTTTAGAAGCTTCTAAGGCATGAGACAGTTTCCATAGAAATATATTAATTATTGCCACATACTCTAGGCTAGGTTTGAGTGGGTATTTTTTTGGGTGCTGGTGGCCTTCCTTCCTTCCTTTCTTCCTTCCTTCCTTCCTTTCTTCCTTCGATTCCTTCCTTCCTTCCTTCGGTGATTGGTTTTGTTGGAACGTAGGTAAATTAGTAAAGTTGTTTATAGCTATAGCTTGGGTGGGCAGTACTGTTGGGGGGGCAGGAAATCTGTATTTCCTGGCTTTTTACATCTTATTTAAATCTTGGTTATCTCCTTTCTACATATGTACACACACTTATAATGTCTATGGTAGTGGGATAGCAGAATGTATCTTTTTAAAGGTTTCCCTCCTTTCCAGTTTAGTTTTTAAATGGTAGCCTTGAGCGTACGCATTTAGAATACATGACTAGTAGGTTTATGTTTCACAAATAGTTTAAATTCTTGTTGGCAACCTGCAAGTGTTCAAGGTAGGGCCGTGTTATGGAAAGGGCTCCTGTGGTGGTGGAGCCTAGAGGAGCTCTCTTGTCCTCTACACTTTGGTGACTAGGATGGAAGCTGACACAGGCCTCACTTCCCCTGGGACCACTTCCTATGGGGCAGTCACTGAGCGGGAGTGAGCTCAGGAGCAGACCTTCCCTCTGCCGCCTCCTCAGTTTGCGATGTGAACTCAGGTACTTGAGTTCTCATTTGTCGTGGTCACAATTAAGACCGGGTTGAGTGTTACCTACAAGATCGTTTTTTACAGGACCTGCTCACACTTTTCTGCCAAATGGACCCTTGGGGAGTGTGCAGGAGGCTGTGAGGTCATGGGTTGGCTGGTAACGTGATCAGACAAGTAAGTGTGTGGGGGTAGTTGACCTTAGTGAAGAAATAGAGATAAGCATGAGTATGTCTTTATTTTTGCAAGGAGAGAGCTTGCTAGAGTACGTGATGGCTTCCAAAGAGTATTTTGTAAAGGAACAAAATAAGCATGAATTAACCTTTCAGTATAAGCTATGATGTGTAGTAGTTGGTTATGAATTGTAGTGGCACCAGCTAGCACCTCTGTCACTTAAGGGTCTTTGTATGCTTTTAGGAGAATCCCTTATTTTCAAGGGTTTTTAATGAGCAGACAAACAAACAAAAAAAAACCCCATCCCCTTTCCCTGGCTAAAGCCGCCGTGGGAAGCCTCAGCTTAGGAAGGTGGAGATCTGTTGGCGCTTTGATCTAGTGTAGCACAGGAAGGGAAGTAGGAAAGTTTTATCCAGTACTTTGAGTGCTCAGAAAATGCAATCAGTGTATTATATATGATGATTCATAGTCAGAACCAGTGTATTATACATTGCGATTCATAGTCATTGGTAGCCATCGACCCTAAGGCTTCTACTAAGAAACCAGCTGAAGATTCACCTTTGAGTTAGGTCTGGGGAAATGGCCACCAGGAGGATTTAGTTTAGAACAAAAATGAAATTGTATTCTAAAACTCAGTAGTGGGCAGTGAGTGTGCAGACGGACCATAGGACACTGGTGAGTGCCTGCAGTTTGCCAGTAAGCACGGAGTAAGGCTGCATCCTCTGCGGGCCCGAACTGTAGTGTGCTTGGAGGGTGGGAAGGTGGGCTGGCGAGGTTAGTGGGGCCGTGATAGAAAAGCTTTCATGAACTTCTTTCTCTCCAGTAAACACTTAGCCCACATCTTGCTGTCAGTAAAGAAGTTGTTCCTAAACTTTGAGTCACTTAAGCTTGCCCACGAAGTGAGGTGCGGTTTCCCTCCCTGGGGATTGTTTGCCTGGTGATACCTCAGTGTCCAGCAGCTCCTGGTGCCTGACAGCTGTCTGGCCTCACCACACCCTTTGTGCTGACTGCGGGGACCTGAGCACCCTTCCCTTCCCTGAATCACGGCCTCAATGTCGTCTTGTGTCCTTGCTGATGTAAAAGTGTTTAATGCTTCCTGGATGTAGTGGGTAGCATGCGGATAAGAATTTAACTGGTTATTCTTGAATTTCTTTTACAATAAACCAATTTTTATAATCTTGAAATGTATCAGCTTTTTACATTTGTGTTCTTTTCAGTTTAGGACTTCTTTTGAGTTCCTTAGGATCACAAGCAGAGGGCACTGACTGGGCTTTCAGAGCTCTGTGTGTCGTCCTTCCTAAGTACAGAGACAGCTGTCAAAAAGAAAAATGGGGGCAGCTGGGGAACGTGTGGTGTGACTGACTGAATGAACATGAGCCTAGAGAGAGCGTGCCTAAGGTGGACTGAAGACGGGAATGAAATAAATAAATCATTTTAGAACCCACACCAGGTGGCAGGCTCTGTAGCTTCGGAAGGTTTACATTCGGAGACAAGAGAGACTATCTTGCTAAGTATGACTTGTTTTTTGGGGGGCTTGGTTTAGTTTTTAGGGGTTTTGTTTTCATGGGTTTTGTTTTGTTTTTGGTTGGTTGTTTTTTGGTTTTTCAAGACAGGATTTCTCTGTGTCAACTCTGGCTGTCCTGGAACTCAATCTAGAGACCAGGCTGGCCTTGAAATCAGAGATCCACCTGCCTCTGCCTGGGATTAAAGGTGTGCACCACCACTGCAAGCATGTTTCCATAAGGAATATGGATGTTCTCTTGTCATTGTTGCTGTACTTTGAGAAAGTTTTCTCCATGGATTTTTGTTGTTTTGGGTTTGTTTGTTTGTTTGTTTGTTTGTTTGTTTGTTTGTTTTTTTGAGACAGGGTTTCTCTGTATAGTCCTGTCTGGAACTTGCTCTGTAAACCAGCTATCTTCAAACTTAGAGATCCACCTACCTCTGCCTCTCCCTCTAGAGTGAGATTAAAAGCATATGCCACCACTGGCCAGCTTCTTCGTGTTTTTAATGCTTTATTTTAGAAAGAATGCACATTTGTAATATATAGGTACATAGATATATTTGTGTATGTAAAATGTGTATATTTTATTAGCTATAAGTGCATGCTTATGTTGGTATGTCCATAAATTGTTACCATGGTATTTTTATTATTTACTACCCTTTTTTAAAGATTTATTTATTACATATACATTGTTCTGCCTACATGCCAGAAGAGGGCACCAGATTGAATTGTAGATGGTTGTGAGCCACCATGTGGTTGCTGGGAATTGAACTCAGGACCCCTGGAAGAGCAGTCAGTGCTCTTAACCTCTGAGCCATCTCTCCAGCCCCTATTTCTACCTTTTTGTCTCCTCATGTAGACAGACTGGTCTCAAACTCACAGAGATCCGCCTGCCTCCCAAGCGCTAGGATTTTAAAGGCGTGTACCACCAATGCCTGGCTTGTTCTTAAACCTTTAAAACTTTTTTAATTCTTTTTTTTTAAGCTTAATGATTTTCCAGTAGAACAAATACTGAGAGTAAAATGCAGTTTGTAGTAGTCAGTGGCAGGCAGGTTACAGAAATCAGCTTTGCCTCTAAGGGGTGTGGTGTTTGGAGCTCTTGCAGTCCAGGTGCTGTTCGTGACTGTTGTACCCTGCACATCCGTGTGCATCATGTCAGACGTACCATCTTAAGTGGAAACATGTCTGCTTTGTTCTGACCTAGAAAGGTGACATCACCAAGGAAACTGTCTTATATGGTTGCCTTGATGGAACTGACACTTCTGTGTGCAAAGCAAGTGCTCTGCCATCTGGTCTACCTCCCTACCTCTTGCCTTGGTTGTCATTTTTCCAAAGCATTCTCTCCTGATCTTAAACAAGTTACATTTGTGAGAGACTTGTTTTTTAAGTACAAAGAAAGTGGTATGACCTGGACTTTGATTTATTCTTTTTTTCAAGACAGGGTTTCTCTGTGTACCTTTGGAGGCTGTCCTGGAACTAGCTCTTGTAGACCAGGCTGGTCTCAAGCTCACAGAGATCCGCCTGCCTCTGCCTCCCGAGTGCTGGGATTAAAGGCATGCGCCACCAACGCCCGGCTGGTTTATTCTTGTATATGCCATTTCTGATGTTGACACATCAGCTTCAGTCAGGCAAACCTGAAAGCTTGCTTTTTTCCTTTTATTTTTTCTTCTCACATAACCAGAACAGCTTTTGGAGACTTGACATTGTCCCTCTTTTGGCACAGAATACAAGGACTCTACCTCAGAAGGTGTAGTGTGTGCTTAGCCTGTGTGAAGCAGTACCAAAAGAAGCAGAGACATGCCTCATGCTCACAACACTACCCCTGGCTAGGGAGGTGCCCACGGCTGTCCACTGACTGCTGACACAACAGGGGGCATAGTAAAAGGCAATCCCCAGTGGCCATTGGTGCTTAACCCTTCTTGTTTCACAGCTGAGGTGGTAAGGAAGAGAAAGCAGCCAGCTGCTCTCCCTGACCCTCCCAACCGTTGCCTATCCTAAATTGGCCTCCGTGAGAGTAAATATGGAAGCTACTCTCCTTTGCCTCAGAGTTGACACGTTGGTGCTGATTAGAGTCACATGGCCCGGCAGTGTCCTCCATGTCATCCTACCCCACTTCATCTGTAACTTTTGTGTGTCTGTTGTATGAATATGTACGGTTGCAGTTGCCCACAGAGGCCAGAAGAGGGTGTCAGGTGCCCTGGAGCTGTAATGAGAGGTAAGGGACACTTGTGCTGAGTGGTATTCCGTTTAAGAGCTTAGCTGTTCCCAGAATTGCTGCTGTCCACAAGACCATACAGTAAGATTCCAGTCGACATGCTCACCAGACTAACCCACTGGAATCACCATGATTGCGTTCTGCCGGAGGAAACCTCCATTTGCAAAGCCTTGGGGATACCTGCCTTTTGAATAGTCACTGTCAACACTGTAAAAAAAACTTGTGAAAAAATAGTGCTCCCCCTTTTCCATAGTGGGATTCATCCCCATGAATTCCAGCAGTGAAACCTTGACTCAAGAAGCCCAAAAAATAAATCCAGCAGTGTATTAATTACTGGGCACCACTCCCTCTTGTACTGGTAAACTGGATAATCCAGGGGCCCTGGTGTGGAAGTATTCACATAGTCAAGGAATCTTTTGTCCCCATAGTCAAATCCACATAAATTAAAAGCTAGCCCCCTTCAGTTATCCCTTATAGACACATGCAGAGCCTCAAAAGACAGGAGACAGACAGACGAGCAGGACTGAGGGGCACCAATTCGTCTGACAGCTCAGGGAGAGCACAGTTTATCAGCCTCTTGGCTCACTGTCATAGCTTCTCCCTTTAGTGTTCACTAGCAATTTGCAAAAAATGCTAATATAAGGGCCCATTTCCTTCCACAGCTTGTGCCGGTCATTATGGTCATGGTGGTGCTGTTTTCATCTACCAGGAAAGCAAGATCAAAGCCCAGCACATACAGCATTTCTTCCTTTTCTTTCTTTTATTAGTTACAGACTTGTAGGCTTACTAGCCACATAAACGTAAGTTTGTGCACTAACGCTTTTTCTCCCCGGGTTCATTTAACCTATCCCCCACCTAGTGAGTTTTGCATGAATGCTTCTCGAGTCACGTCCCCCCATGAAACGTGAGTCACCTGCCCTATCTCAAGATTTTATCTGCCTTCCTGGTTCTGGGGGATATGTATGCCCATATCGTTGCTATTGTCAGAACTGTTCATTGTGTCTGTAGTGGGTATAAAAACCAAAACCTTCTGGTATAAAAAGGCCACCATTCTTGAAGAATAAAGAGCCTTGAGAGGGACAAGTGTGTGAGCCGGTTTATTTCCCACTCACCCTCAGACCCCTTTTGGAAAAACCCACCTGCCTGCTGTCTAAGCCCCTAGCCTAGACCCTGAGAGAGCTTCGAGGCTGAGCCCTGAATGCTCTCAAGTTACAGAATTGAGAATTACAGTGGCGTGCACTGGTGGTCCCCTGCAGTTCCAGTTTTCTGGAGGCAGGGCAGGATGGTGGCCAGAACTCACAGGACCACCACTCTGAACAACACTGAGCCCTGGTGCTGGGGGATAGAGCCCAGGGTCGTGTGCACGGTAAGCGGGCTAAGCCTTCAGCCTCTTACCTCCTCTACAGACCTCTGCTCGGCTTCAAGTCTCCTGGGAGTGTCCAGGGGCTGTAGTCAGACCCTCAAACTTGTGCAAGCAAGCACTTCTCCTCCATGCCTAAATCTTGCAGACCCAGGACCCTTTTTTTACAGTGGTGGGATCTACACAGAATTACAATGATGTGAAAATTCCGATTGTTAAGGAGAAACTCCTTTCTGAAGCGTGTGGACCAAACGACACACTCGGGCGGGCAGAGGGCTTCAGTACCATCTGCCTGAGCTGCGGAAGCCAGTAGCTGCTCCAAGCCATGGATGCAGCCCCTAGGAAACCTGCCTGAAGTCATTTCTCCTTCAGCAGCTTGAAGCATTCAAGTGTTCTGGCTGCTGATGAAAATGTAAGGTTGGGGCCTGGCGAGTGGCTCAGCAGCTAAGAGCGCTTGCTGCGGACCTGAGTTCAAATCCACAGCATCCATAGACACACCTACAACTCCAGTGCCTTTGGGGACAGGTGGAAGGGATTGTTGGGGCCCGATGGCTGACCTTGCATTTTATGAGAGATGTAAAGACATGTTAAGGAGAAGCCAGAGGACTACCCTGAAGTCACTACCCAAGTCACATGTGCCTAATCTACTCCAATGTATTCTCACACTGCGTATAAGTCCCTTTGGAATGCACAAAGGATGCAAGCTAGCCGGTTCAGTCTTGTGACCCAAACCACTGAAGATACAGGTCTTCCATATTCCGGCAGAAGATGGTTTACTGGGGCTTATGAGTGTTATCAAGCAGCTCAGGGCTCCTGGGAGAGGTCTCATCCTGGCCTGGAGTGGAGAGGCCAGTGCTGGTCAAATCAGTTTAGGAATTTAACACTGATATGAACTAAAGAGTACTGACCAGTTTCTTACCAGTTTTCCAAAGCCTCTGGAACAGATTCCCCAAGACCTGAGTATTTCCAGTGTTCTCATTGCTCTGAACTTTGTGCTACTGAAATGGCAGTCACGTTGGTGGCCCCTACACTATCCACTTTGGGAACTGAAGACTCAGACTGTTTCCTGCTAGGGTAAAAGGAAAGTTAACAGTGTGCAGCACACAGA